CCATCAGTCAGTATTTTAAAAATGAAATCGATAATGTATACATGTATGGATACATTTACAAAACAACTGTAGCACTGTTGCCCTGCATGCTACATCTCTTGTACTGCTATCTTTTACATTAGTAGGCAAAAATTATATATTGTAATGATTTCTGGACTATATTTTCAACCAGGGACTATTCATGCCAATAATTCCTAATTGTGAATGATAAAATGCAGTATCATAATGGATGCTGGATTAAGGTTTAAGAAACTGGCAGTTCTTTATGAATATGAAAGCCTTCTAAATTATATCTTTTTGGGCTCTAAACCTCTACAAAATTATGGAAAATGTTGATACTTAAAGTTAATGTTTAAAAACATTATCAATGCAAATTGTTTGATTGAAGCACTGAATATGAGCCTGTTTAAGTAAGAAAATTTCCCTTCGAGGCATTCCTACCAAACAGACATTAATCTACCAAAGTTTCATTAGTTTTTCTTCTACCATAGACTTACACTGCCAGGTCTACTGCCCTCTAGCTAATTAGTGCTAGTTCGAGTATTCCTACTGGTCAGGATGGTTGGCTGAGTATCTGGCGAGCCACATTTTCCATCAAATCTCTCCACATAATTTAGAACATCTACAAATGAACTCATCTAGTAAGATTGCTGGACTGCACCATGGAAGGTATCCCAGAAGGCTGCTGTCATCTCTGATATTTAAAAAATTAGCTGTATGCTAGAAAGAATTAACTTTCAAACAACACTTTTTTAAAAATGTCTAGGCAGTTATAGGCATCTTTTTCATTACACAGACAGGCACATAAAGTAATAAAGCAGCTGTAGATGGATGTTTTATTAAAAGTAATATATGTACTTTTTTTGTTGGCCATACTAACCAATTTGCTCCAGATATTAAAGCAAATACTTTGTATCTCCCTCGACACCCAAAGTAGTAAAAGAGGGGGGAAAAAACAAGATTAAAGCAAAGGCATAAATCAACCGAGAATTTACTTACTATAGATTGTATTTCCCTTTAAAACTTACTAAATACCATTGTGTGTTGCACAACCATTGATTTTGCAAATTTTGTGTAGAAATACTCTTCCCTGAAACTAGAGATAATATGGGATGGAACTTTTCTGAAGTGCTTGATTTTGGCCTAACTTCATTGCTATTCAAATTATTAAAAAAATATGCAGTTTTAAATGAATACTCGCTTTCAGATTCATATCAGGTTCTAAAAGATTAATCGCTCACTGCTGCTCTCAGATCTTATTCATAGAACACTGGGCTCAATGGTGCCAAGTAATTTTGGGAAGGACAAAGAGCCTCATGTAGCTTATAAGTTGTACACCATGTTGATTTGCTTCATATTCTTTTTTGTTCATGAAATTTTGTTTTCATGTTATTCTGCAATAATTGTAGTGCAATATTCTAGGAAGTATTTAAATCTTCTATCCGTTTTTGAAGTCCCAATGGTAAACTACAGGAAACAACCAAGTAAGCTTTCATGTTGAACTTTCTTTCCAATATCATCAGTTTTGGACTTTTATCTTATCATACATATGCATACATACACAAAGAGACACATCTCCATTCTGTCTGAGGCCAATGGAACTTCCAATATATCTAGAGCACATATTGGTAAATGCCGATACTTCATATGGATTTGAACACTAAATCCGTTGTATCAAAGATAGAATTCCTAACATATCTTATCTGTAACTGCACAAACTAGAACTAAGAAAAGATTTCTCCTGGATCAAAAGATAATGTGTCAAAATTAAGACTTTTATTTTCACTTGTTCCACCATTTTGCTGCTGTATTTTCCAGACATACTCAACTGTAGTTTTGTGACAGACCTCATGTGACACTAATAAGAAATGCAGAAAAAGTTGACAAAAATAGAACAGTGGAATGGCAGGAGGACAGCAAGCCACACTGGACAGAAACATGTTTCCTCAATGTGTATAAGAAAATTGTTGGACATACTGTATGTTTTAAAAAGTTTGATTTAAACTATATTCAGTTACTACTGGGATTTTTCTATAATCTGTCAATTACATCTGAATTATCTGAGAACAGGAATTCAAACAAAATGGCAGAACTATTACCTAAGTATAAAAATAATTTCAGCATTTTTAAGCCAATTTTTACCATCCTCTTAGAATACCGATGAGATTTGAGCAATAATCTTATTGGTAGTGGACTTCAGTATGTGAGAAATAATAAAATGGCTTCATTTTCCCAAATTTTGAATTAAATGTTGATTAATGTATTTAATGCTATACTACAGTATTAGATTTAGAATTTCACATTAAATCGTTAACAACAATTTCTTCTACTCATCAACTGTGTCCTTAAAATATATATATATTTTATTCCTTTTCAGGTCATAAAAAATCCTACACATATAAACCAGTACCATTTTAACAAGAAAAATTGCATTCTATAAACCAGGGTGAAAGACTTCTAATAAAAAGACAGCTTCAACATTTTTAACATTCGTAATAATATGATACCAGATTTTTACCATTTAGCATGAGTCTTAATTTTACTTTCAATGTATGTCCCAAAAGTACTTTTTCAAAAGGCAACTGTACTTTGTTTTGAAGATGTTTTGCTTCTTCCGTTCGTTAATGAGAAGCGAAAGGAATACCCCTCAGCCCCAATCCCGGTGAGCTCTTGTAAAGGTAATCCAAATTATCCAGTATAGTTATTGTAATCATTATTGTGAAATAAATTAATAAGGAAAATCCACTAGGGATGATACAACCTGCTGCTAATCCTGGAAGGAAGCACGAAACACGCGTCTGATGAGCAAGAGACTAAGTCGTAAACTGAGGGGGTTCTTGCAAAGCAGAGGCGTGGCGACTTTCCAGACTTAGCCTTATTGGAGCAGGAAGATTAAGACAACCCACTAGTGGATTCTCCATCCAATCATGCTGGAGAAGCGAAACATCTTCAAGGAAAAACGAAGTACAGTTGCCTTTTGAAAAAGCACTTTTGGGACAACCATGACCTGGATGACTGAGAATCTTCATAGACACTTTCAGTGAATAATACATAATTTTTAAATAATTTCTTGTTGTCTTAGAAGGGGCACAATGAAAATACTTAAAAGTATTTTTCCCAATAAAAACTTCTACTGAAAAATGGGATTAAAAATAAGAAAAGGCCACTTGTGGTTTCAACAATACTGTGCTATCATCTTAAAATAAAAGCAATTGATACAAAGAATTCCAACTACAAACCCAAACACCAAAACCAGTCAAGTAATTTTAAATATTTTGAAGCTGCAACACACATAAGACTTTTGGGGATAAAAAAAAGAGGGGAAAAAAAGGATGGGTGAATTTTCCCCCTTGAATCTTTTTTTTGAACAGACATCTCCCATTTCTCAGTTATTTCCTTGAAGTTCGCATCTAGTTTAACAGTGCCAAAATTAACCTTACATTTTTGTCAATTTGTTTACATGAATTCTTTTTTAAAATCGGAAAAGTTTTATTTTTCAAATAATTGTCATTTTGAATAATCCCCAAATCTTCCCCCAAATGGGTTATCTCTTTTAAGGCACAATGATTTTGGAAAAAGATCCTCTACTTAAGCTACTGCTTAGTATGTTGATTCCCTGATGTTAATATTACGCGAAGACTCCACAAAAATTAATAGAAATTTCTTCCAGGTATTTCAAGACAGAGGTTACAGTTGCATAAATAGATGGCAATGTTTTCTCTTGTTGAATATTGATTGTCAGACATAAGCTCCCAATGCTGCATGAAATTCAGTGAGACACTGCACTAGCTGCTGGAATTTAGGTCTCTCCTCAGGATCTAGTGCCCAGCAACAAGCCATCACAGCAAATCTAAAAAAAATAAAAGCAAGCAGAAGTCACTCAAACTTGTAATACTCAAACAATTTGTACATTTGTACAATATACTCAATTTAAAAGTTACTTTTGTATACATTTTAATATAAAGCACTTTGAGATTTTATTTTTTTCCATTAGATTATGGTCTTAAGTTATTATGGCCTTGACTATGAAAAATTGTAAAAATAAGCTCTCAAGTTCCTTTGTCTGCCCACTCCTATAAAAAAAGAAATGCTGAATCTATAGTTCTTTTAAACAGTTTAAAGTTAGTTCTCACTGATTGATTAAGTGTAAGTCACCATCAACTGCAACTGTCTCTACTTACAATTCATCGGGACAGTTGATTGGTTGAGCTATTCTGTATCCATCCTTTAGATAGGCAGCCATCTCAAAGGGATCAATATCTACATATGGAGTTTGTCCTAATGTCATTAATTCCCATAAGGTCACCCCAAAAGACCACTAGAAAACATTAGAACAGCTGATTAGAATTTAAAAATATTGTTTCACATTTAGGAATTCAGAACAAATGTTTCTAAATATTTAATATAACATTTAAATATAGGTGAGTTGCAGTGTAACCTAACAGAAATAGTAACAAAATTGTTTAGTTACTCTTTTAAGTGTTTCACTTTGTATTCAAGCATAATAGAAACACACATGCAGGATAACACAGCCTGAATACACAAACATATATTTAAAATACAGTCAATTAAAAAAAGTTATTTTATATTTAGGATCATATGATCATTTTTATCATCATTATGCTGTAAAAGAATTTACAGTTTCAAAATAATCTAAATATTTCCTGTAATCTTAATATAAAAATATGAGAAACAGTTACAGTATTGAGATACATTTGCTAATTAGAGCAGCTCTAAAACTCTTCCAAAGACCAGGAAAAACAATTGTCACTTTCATTACTACCAGTAATGAAAATCTTTCTATAATAGAAATCTTTGAATATGGTAGTAATCAAAGCCTTCTCATTCCACTGACATGATAATAGATTGGACTGATAAATTATGCTTATCTCTAAGTGTCTTATTTTTCCAATTGTATCAATGGAAGACAAAATGTGTAGGAGAAAAAATTGAAAGAAAGTGATAAACTCACTTTGAAGGCCTTGAGCTGGCCCAGGTTTAAGAAGCAGGGATTTTATTTCTTTGGAACTGGTCTGACAAATGTAGTTAACACATACTTCTTGCAAACAAAACAAACTTATCTCAAAACTAACAAAATTCAGTGAACTGTTTAACAAAAAGTGAAAAATACACTCCAGATATTACAAATCCTATTCAACATAAATACAATGGCTTAGTTTTCTATGGAAATTATTCAACAATCCAGCTATTAAGAATATGAAAGCTGGCAAATAAACTAAAGGACTCTGTGACAGCACTTATAAGTAAATATGAACTTGCAAATGTATTTTTCTGGATTGGGAAGAGGGAACAGAAGTATAATACTGTAAATACTTTCACAGAACGCATGTCACAAAATTCAATATGTTAGACTCCCAAGTAAGTGGCATGCAGCTTTATGTTCATTTCTATTAGCCTTTATGATATCAATAAATAATTCAGCTAAAATGCCTTAAGCTCACGATTGCTAGGGCAGAATCTTCTGGTTAGAAAAAGGGAAATAAGATTTAAATCTGACAAAAGTTAGATAACATTTTAAAGCTATAGTCTTTATTCCTTTATTATTCTGGGGTATTTTAATGCTATTAAGGTGTCTGGTAGTTCAATTCATGAGGGTATAGCAATTCACCAAAATGTTTTGCTACACAGATTTCTAAATACAAAACCTAGGATAAAAAACATGAATCTCCAACCTTGGCAAATTTAAGACTTTTGGATTTCAACTTCCAGAATTCTCCAACCAGAATGGTTGACTGAGGAATACTGGAAGTTGAATTCCACAAGTCTTAAAGTTGCCATGTTTGGAGATTCCTGACCTAAAATAAAAAATCACATATAAACAGATCATATATCATAATCAAGTAACCTGCATGTAGACCTAGAAGAAAGAATTAAGGAAGATTTCAGCCATTAAATTATTTCAGCCATGGAAGATGCAAAATCAAGTATCTCATATAATAATTAAAAATGATTAAAACAATCCAAATACTGCACTTAGGTTCATTTGGAATGTATTTCTTGGTTTACTGACTTTTACATGTAATTTTAAAGGCTGGCTAGAAAGACTGATAAAGGAGTGAGAAACATTAAAAGTAACAAAAATGTTACTTTAACAAAAATGATGAGCCCAAACAAAAGTGAAATGTTCTGGATCTTATTAGATAAAATGCAATATAAGGCTAATTTATAATATATCATCTCGCTTTAAAGTTTAAGAAAGGATATTGTCATATGCTTTGAACATTGTAGATAATAAAATTTAAGCTGACACATTCTTAGATAATAAAATTTAAGCTGACACATTCTGTCTTCACTGTTATATTGTAATGAGTTTATACAGCTTTTACACACATTCTAATATAATGAATAAGGGTAACTCCTTTGAACCCCTTCCAGTTATAAATGATATATACAATGGTATTTCTCAAACTATTTTTGCTTTCTTAAGATCATTGGCAGAAACAACCATATTGATCATCTTAAGAAAGCTATCTGCAAATAGAAATTGTGATTTTAAAAATATTTACATGGTTTAAAAGATTCTAATGTGATATTGAATGATTTATGTTAACTTACCACATCACTAGCACCAGAAAATTCATTGTTAACCAAGCTTTCAAGAGCCATCCAACGCACTGGTCTGTTTTCATTATCTCCAAGGCAATGATAATCCATTGGAAATAAGTCTCTGGATAGAGCATTATCTGTAATCTTTACCTGAAGTGCATCATCAATGCTGCATATTGAAATATATATGGACAATCATTTAGGCAAGGCAATAAACTTTTATAGGCAAGTCTTAATCATCTTAAGTCATCCTTCCCATATGGAGCTCAGAAAATGACACTGTATAATATAGTCTAATATTAGTAGTACAAACATAATTTGTTTTATTATTGTTTAGGGTTTGACACTTCTTAAAACATAAGTGTGTTCCATCCCATTTTGCTGCTACCATGGTTCATCCAAATATGTAAAAATTATGTATGTTGAAAACTTTTCATTAATTTTAAAAATTGGTGCTGAAAATAACACATGGAATATGGGCAAGGAATAACCTGCATTTTTCATGAGCCAGGAAATACAACCTTTGGGGATTTTAGAACCCTCATATTCCTGTACTACCTCTGATGAGAAAGGGTGACCTGAATACGGGCTGAACAGTAGAGCATTTGAAATAATGTTCTTCAAACATCACCTCTTTATGTATTTATCTCTTTACACCTCAAGACTTACACACAGTTTCTAGCAGCCAAGTCTTTGTGAATAACTTCTCTTCGGGCCAAATAGCTCATTCCACAGGCAATTTGAATTGCCATATGTACAAGGTCTTGTTGAGAAATTGCCTGAAATAAAAAGTGAAATTTAATTAATTTGTTCAAACAAAATTTAGTTATTATTTATTTATGGTTCATGACCAAAATGTAGTTCACCCTAAAAAGTAAATGGTCAATGAGAAAGGCCATCAAAATAAAAATCTGAGCTACATAGTTTTGATCTTCAGCTTAGATCCTTTTGTAAGTCTAGAGCAAAAACCTGCTGTTTCAGTGCCAGCAAAGCTTTCTCCAACGCAACTAAACTCAGATATTAGACAGATATGCCACATGATTTTAGATTCAAATTTAGATTCTAATGATGTAAAATTATCCTGAAGGGTTATGCGAGACCAAAGGGCTTTCAAGCTAGATCTATGAAGTTAGATTTATACGCTGGTCATTAGCAAGTGAAAAAGTCACAAGAATTGATGGAATATCTAAAAAATATGGTAAACATCAGAAGACCAGTGAAGTCACTAACCAAACTATACCATCAAACCTGGAGAATTATACAGTGGCCAACAGATTGGAAGAGATCAGTCAACATACTAATGACAAAGAAAGGAAATTTAACATATATTGTATAAAATTCTTTATTTCACGTTAGCAAAATAATGCTTAGGATCATCCAATGCATATTCAAACTGTACATGAAATGGGAGATACTAGATATTCTTTAGAAAATATCAAGGATCACAAAATAGTACTGCTGATGTGTGTTGGATAATTGAAACAGCCAAAGAATACCAAAAAGAAGTCTGCATTTGCTTCATTGCTTTCAGTTGTGTTGTTCATGTCAAACTGTGGAATATGCTTAGAAAAATGAGAATCCCAGAACATTTCAGTGTCTTCATATAAAACCTACACACAGGTCAACAAGCTAGTCTGAATAGAACATGGTGAAACAGACTTGCTCCATATTGGCAAGGAGCTATCTGTTCAATTTGTATGCTGAATACATGTTGAGAGAAGTTGGACTGGAGCATGTTTTTAAAACTGAAGAAACGTCAATAACCTGCACTATGTTGGGGACATTGCACTGATAACTGAAAATGAAAATAATCTGCAAGTTCTAGTCATGAAAGGCAAGGAGCATAGTGAAAAAAATGGTACTAAGTATAAACATAAAGAAGACCAAACTAATGATAACAGGTATAGTAAGCAGCCTTAGCAATGATTATATAGATACTAAAATGGTGGGTAGCTTCTGTCTTTTAGCATCAACTATCAATAGTAAAGAAACCAGCAATCAAGAAATATACTGTAGACTAGCACTCGGTAGACTTACAATGAAGACCTTGGAAAAAAATATTCAGATGCTGTGATACAACAACATATACAAAGATTAGAATGCACACAAATGTTTTCTCTGTGACATTCTATGAAAGTGGAAGTTGGACTGAAGCAGTTTGTCACATAATGTGAAGATCTGGCTCTCTGAAGAAGTCTATAATGTTTGAAAATTGTGAAGGGAAGAGAAGAAGAGAATGACAAGCAATAAGGTGGACTCAAGACCGGGTTGGGGACAGATAATCCTGGAGAACTCTATATAGTCACTAAGAGTCAACACTCACTTGATAGCATGTAATCAATCAGCAGCATTTTTATTGAATAGCTTCAATAAAAGCAGTCATAATTCAATATTTACAAACAAGTAATGTTTTTCACCCTAGCAACCTACAGAATAAATTCAAAATGATATGCACATGCATAATTTTCAATTTATTGGTGGGTGGAAGAGGAGACTCTTAGCTGCTACAAACTTATTCCGTGCTTAAGTGAAAGGTTATTCAGTTTACTGCTTAAAAAAAGAGTTAACAATACTGCCTATTGTTCAAGATTTGTCACAAAACTTGGCAATATCATCAGAAGGTATTCTATATTGTGTGGCCTATGTCCCCAACTTTGATACAACATTTTGATAAAAACAAGACATTGTGAACCTTTTTCAGATCATGTCAGGAAATCATATGGTATGGTCTGAGTGTTTATAATATCCAGAGTGGAGACAATTTTGAATGCTAGGATTAAGCACATCTTACCTGAGGGTTATTAGCTTCTACAAGTTTGCATTGTCGCAAGAAAAGCTTGAGATTCCCCCAATTCATGTAAGGCAATAACACCATTGGTTTTTCTCCTTCCTCAATACAAACATGAGTGATTGGGAGTAGATTTCTGAAAGAAATATAGTGTTTGTTATAATGTTATGCCATTTCTTTGTCAATTACTATTCTATGACCAATCAGTACTGTTGCATAAATTGTAGAATTATTTTCCCTTAATTATCCTTTTTGTTTCTGTTTTATTTCCCCCCAATAATTTTTTATATAAACAGTATACAAAAATATATTTAGGAGAGTTAAATTATTCTTGGTGAAACATGCTTTCATCACCCTCAAATGCTTCTATTATCTTTTACTTTATGTTTGCTCTTTAGCTAATAATGAACAAGATATTCCTGAAGGCAGAATCTTCCATAAATTTTTTTAAGCTATTTCTTGACACAAATCTTAAATAAACCATTCAATTCCACAAAACAATTTTATTGTGATTTTAAAACAAGAACACTAACCTGTGATGAAGACCTCTGAGTTTACTGCTTTCTGTCAGCATCATTGTTATTTGAATTTCTGAAGCTTGATCTAAAAAGCCAAATTTTTGTTAAAGCCTATTTGCATAGACGGAAAAAAGCTTTCTTGAACTGAGTAAGCAGACTTAAATATAAAAAATCAAAATGCCTGAAGAATAAAGAAACTGGATGAAGAATTGTATCTCCTAACTTTTTAAGTTTGATGCAGAATAATTTAGTAGCATTTTTTAAAAATTCTGATTGGTCTGGTCACTTCAATTCCTTTTTTTTTTTTTGGTAATAAGTTGGGATCTCCAAGTAATAAATGAAATATGCATGCTCAAAAGTGGGTATTTATACATGAAACAATTTAACAACATTTATCTGAAACAATCCCATACTTGAATTCATTGTTATATATCTAATCATACCTACAACTTTTCCATAAAAATGACTAATAAAATAAGATTCAGATTATATATAACGCTCTACATTCAAAGCAGAAAATCTATGTATATATACCACATTGCACCTTTTTCCTCACATTCACTTCCATCAAGTATTAACTGTGAAGATAAGGAATATACTGAACCGTTCCACTTTACATGAAAATAGCTATGAAGAAAATAAAGTGACACGAGTACGCTGCTGTATTAAAGCTCTAATACAATTTTTTGATACTAGATAACTGTGAGCCATTGGGCCATTTCCTCAAGATATTTCTTTACCTAAGCAGAGAAACAGAATAGCCACAGGCAGGCAAAAAAGCAGTGGGAACAGAAATGACTTCTAACCTCCTGCCTGCTTCCTAATTGACATTGTTTGTGGGAAGTGGCAGAGAGTGTTGGAAATCACTCCTCCTACTCCTCAGTTGACCCACAGAACTGTCTACCATTTTGTTGAAAGATTGGGGAACAAAGGGAGTCATAGACCCGGAGAAAAACTGCACCTTCGTTTCCCATCCCAAGAGCCCCTTTCAGGGAAAAAGAGGGATCACCCCTCGACCACCATGTCCTCCAGCAAGCCCTACTTTGCCAGTAAGCATCCAGGTCACTCTCTTTTCCTATCTTCACTGCCCATTCAGAGATTTCAAAATTGCAGCCTTGGTCAGGCCTTGCTGTCAGCTGTAGGTCAAGAAAAAGTGAGAAAGAGGGTGAAGATACACCCCTCTTATCTTCTTTTGTGCTATGGAATGTACAAATTTCTGGGAAGTATAATCAGAAGTCGTAGTGGCATTGAAGCAGCCATAATTTTAGTTAATTTCAGTCCCACAGAACTGTTGGGTCCCAGATTTTGGATGCATTCTGTAAGTTAGCTCAGGTACCTTGGTTCAAAAATTGTCACTCTATAATGCATTGTTTCATCCAATTGAAGGTCACAAATAAACAGATATGAAAGTTTTGGTAGCATATAGATTGCATGGAGAGACACCTAATTGTAATGACATTATAAATATAATAAAAATAAAGAGGATAAAGTAATAGAATAAATACAGATTATAAATGTGTGTGTGTGCATAGATAACATTAAAAAATAAAATGTGTATAAATAATGTGCTTATGAAATAGTAAGCATTTATATATCGCATATAACTCCACAATTGGAAGAAGTAGTACCAAAGCATATTCATTGGATTAAATTATCAAACTTTTCAATCAGAGAACATAGAAGTTAACAAGTTAAAGGATTTAAAACCATGCTTGTAGTTTTATCTTAAACTATAAAGTTTAAGTTAATAACTATGTAAGTTTTTAAAACTTAGTAACTTTTATAGTAAGTAACTATAACAACTCTCTCTGGCAGACATGGATCAAGTATGAAATGTTCTCAAGGTATCTACATTGCTGGGCATCACACAATACTATCCATTTCTCTTGTACATACATTATTGGACAAACTATTTTGATTGGGAAATAAAAACAGACAAACAAAAGCAAAAGATGGATACTATAAGCACATCAACAATATTTTGGAAGCTTTTTCTATACAAAGTGTCAATAAAATGTTAACACAAGTTATTTGCATGTAAATTACTTATTGCCTAAATTTCTTTAAAGAATCTGTTTTATTAATTAGATACTTTTCAACTATGAACAGCCGAG